TCCCCCGTTCCAACTGGGCCAACGAATCGATCTTCAACGAGACTTTCGAAGCCCTCTGGCAAGCCGTCGACGAAGGTATGGCGCTGATCGGCTACAACATGGCGCCATCATGGGAGAAAGGCGGACGCCCTGACAACTCTGTCAATCCAGCTTGGAGAAACATGCTCGGTTTCATCATCACTGGGACTGTGCTGAACATGTCGAATCCAGCTGCGGAGATTGTCGAGGAGCGCCTTAACATGACTTATGGCGTTATGCAGAAGTGGCGCAATCTCACACCTGGCTCCGGTTCGTACCTCTCCGAGGGAGACCGCCTTGAGCCCAACTTTCAGTGGTCGTTTTGGGGTAGCTTCTACCCGCGTCTTTTGGAGGCGAAGCGCAAGTTTGATCCGTTCAATCTCTTCTGGGCTGCTGGGGCAGTGGGCAGTGAGTTCTTCAATGTGCGTAGCATTGACGGTTTGCCGAATGAGAACGGGAGGCTTTGTGTTAATCCGAAGCCGACGCTCTACCAGGCTGAGGGTCCTGACTGGGTTCCACAGTAAATGGATGGTGTCATGGCGACCAAACGTGTATAGATCCGAGATCAAGGGGTTCTCAGTTTATGCTGATAGGAACTACCATCAAGGCGGATGAGCCAAAGTGCGTTCAAAGGAGTTGGACACATTGAAGGCTTTGCTTTTTTTCTTGGCAACGAAGTAGATTACTAGCGTCAATGAGGTGGAAGGTATCGTCTTGATAATGATGGTCTACATTGAGAGCATCGTCTCTTATACTGTCTAGGTATCATATGCACATGCCACGTCAACCTCGTCCAGGGCCAGCAAATGCTTCTCCCATAACTACATAACCTTCCTGTTGTTTCCATCCTGTCCCAACTCCAAAATCAGACCTTTCAAGTTCAAGCGTTGAATATTTCCGTTGTGTTTGTCGCGGCGTCTTGCTTAGCATCATCATTCATGAACAGCCGAGGGGCTGCACTCAGAAGCTTGGGTTGCCGTTGATCTTAAGGCCGCTCACACCGTTGGCAATGCCTTCCGCATCAAGTCCATTCGTCGCGCCACTTTGGTAGTCGCGAGTGATCTCGTCGAGCATACCAGCGCTAGCAGCGACGAAACCCAGGTAGGGTCTGCTCGGGTCCAGGACGCGGGACAGATATTCCGGGTGGAACTGGACACCAACGAACCAGGGATGGTCCTTGATTTCGATAACCTCCATACGTACACCAGCTTCATCTTTGCCGACAAAGCTCAGACCGCCCTTCTCAAGCGTCTCAATGTAGTCAGGGTTGACCTCATATCGGTGACGGTGGCGCTCTAGAATTTCCTCCTTGCCAGCGTACAAAGCGCGGAGACGAGACCACTCGCTGCCTGGTTGGAAGAGTGTGGGACGGAGACCGAGACGCATGGATGCGCCCATGGTGCTCTTATCTACCTCTGGCATGAACATGATGAGCTTGTTCTGCGCCTCGCCGTTGAACTCCTCGGAGGTTGCGTCCTTGATGCCGCAAACGTTACGAGCGTACTCAATAACGGCAATCTGCATGCCGAGGCAGATACCAAGATATGGCTTCTTATGCTCACGCGCCCAGGTGGCCGCTGAGATCATACCTTCTGTGGCACGTTGACCGAAGCCACCCGGTACCAGGATACCTGATGCCTTGACGACCTCGTGCCAAGCGTTGTGGTACTTTGCAGGGTCTGTCTTCTGACACTTGGGCTCCAGATGGTCCGAGTCGACCCAGCGAATGTCCAGCTTCCTCTTGCACCGCATTGTAGCGTGTTCCAACGACTTGATGACTGACAGGTATGAGTCCTGGAGCTCCACGTACTTTCCGACAAGTGCGATCGTGACCGGGTCGTGGAAACGAGTGTCGTGGCCAGTGAGCGACTGCCATTGCGCCCAGGTATGGTTGCCCTTTTGCAGCATTGACGCTGAGACTGAAACTTGCTCGAGAGCAAGGAATTGGCGTACCATCGGAATCAGTCTTTGTTGTTCGAGAAGCATCGGTACTTGGTAGATGGATGGCATGTCACGGACAACAAGGACTTGTTCGTTCTCGACCTGGCAAAAGTGGGCGATCTTCTCGACAGCGGAGGCTTCAAGTTCGCGCTCGCAGCGGCAGGCAATCTAGTACTGTCAGTCATCCAAAGTAATGGCTAACCTGAAAGGCTCGACATACCAAATCTGGGATCAGACCGTTACTCCTCACCGCCTTGATAGCCTGCTGCGTAGGCTTCGTCTTCTGCTCGCCGTGGATGACCGGGACATACGAGACGTGAATCTGCATGAAGTTGTTCTTGCCCGCACGCCTCCTCAGCTGGCTCATAGCCTCAATGAAGGGCATGCTCTCGATGTCGCCCACGGTTCCTCCCAGCTCGATTATGCAGACGTCCGGCTCCTCGCCTGAGTCATCGACGGGTATCCGCGAGACCTTCTCGATCCAATCTTGAATCGCATCGGTGATGTGTGGGACGACTTGTACGGTTTTACCCAGGTAGTCGCCCTTGCGCTCGCGTTCGATAACGTGCTGGTAGATCTTGCCAGTGGTGATGTTGTTGTCGCGGGTGAGGGTGATGTTGAGGTAGCGCTCGTAGTTGCCAAGATCGAGGTCGACTTCGCCGCCGTCGGAGAGGACGAATACTTCGCCATGCCTGGTTTTTTTTAGTCTATATTCACGGTACGGTTGGTGAAGCCTACTCCTTCGGGTTCATAGTTCCCGCATCGACATTGAGGTACGGGTCGACCTTGATCGACGAGACGTGCTGAGACGTCAGTATGTTTGGTAAAACGCGTCAGTCCATTGCACTTATCTTGAGGCCGATTGTCTTGAGGAGAAGTCCTGTAGAGGAGGCTGCGACGCGTCAATCAGCTACAGCACGCAAAATGAGATCCTGACGTAGAAGATGATGTACAGTGGTGCACTTCGGCTACACACTGATAGCGATGGTCTCATAGAGGCTGGTATGCTCTCATGAAAGTCAAACTTCGCGTGGAGCGTCATGGACGCGCGACAATTCTGGCCCATGTCAAATAGCTTACCTATGATACCCTGTGTGTACGCGTTAGTGGTGATCAAAGGCGCGGCAACCTGCAGCTTACCTTCCCCACGCCGCTGATGACGCCGCCAGACACAAGCACGTACTTCATGATGCTGTTTGGTGCCTCAATCGGTTATGGGGAAGGGGAGGGAAGGAAGAAAAGTCGAGATTTCGCACGCGTTAACTTTGAAAGAAAATCGGCGCATGGACCCTCTAGCGGGGCAGATCCGCCCGCACTAGCGCCCTCTCGAGGCTTGAGGCTTGCGACCATGATCCTGCAGCGAATCTTAATCCGAAGCTTCATTTCCTGAGAAAAACTGTCTCAAGCCTAGTGTCTTCTTATATTAACTTCAAATACGAGCTATCAAATGGTATCGTGCTCCCGTCCGTCGAATATCAAATGCATTACAATGTGACCGCCTCACCGAGTCTTTAGACCCCTCCTGTGTTGTATAAACGCTATAGCGGCCTTAAGCCCTAGTTTGTGTCACACTTTATAGAGATTAAATTTTGTTTCTATCTAAATTAATTACTAATAAATGCTACTAAAGCCTAACTAATTATTCTAATAAGTTAACTAGCCTAATAACGCTAATTTTACAATATATAGTCTATCTATTTTTATAATAGCAACAGTAATAGTAATAGTAATAGTAGAGCTATAATTACTATCTTTAATAGCTATTTATAATACTACGCTAGACCTATATAACTATTCTTCTAACTTTTATAGCGTTAGACTATATAATAATAACTACTAGTATTTCTATCTATATTAGACGCTATATATAAGCGCTAGTATATTTTTTATCTATAAAATACTTTCTCTATACTAAATATAAGCTATAAAGTTCTTCTTTATATTATTAAAGTTCTTTTTAGTCTTTCTTACTATCTTCTATAATACCTTAATCTATAATTCTACTAACTCTCTTTTTTATTTATTAAGCTTACTATTTTTTAGGTATACTTAAAGAATAATAGCTATAAGAGTATAAAAGTTAATTTTTATAATAGATATTTATATTTTTCTATTTATATTACTAGTTAAAAATATCTTTCTAAAATCTTTAAGGCACGCGTTTTATTAGTAATAGTAAAGTTAAATATTACTAAAGTAGTTAAAGACCTAATATAAAAAAGAATTCTAGTAAAAAAAGTTAGAGAACTATTTTATAAGACTAGCCTTAAAGTTAAAGTTAATAAGAGTAAGCTTTAATAGAGAAAGCGCTTATAGCGTCTAAAAAATAAAGTAAGAGTCTTTGCTATTATATAGAAAAAAAATAATACTATTAGTAGTTTATTTATAAGTTATCTTATAGTAAAGTCTATTAAGTAGTAGAAGTTTATAAAAAATTCTAATATAGTATAAGTATAAAGAGAATACTAGCTTTAGAAGAATATAAGAAGATATACTAACTTATATATAAGAATATATAGTATATTTACTTTATAATCTATTCTAATAGTTCTTTAACTAATAAGCTATAGTTATATTACTATTCTATTTAAATTTTAAGAGAAATAATAAAGTAATTATATTACTTATATAGTAATTTTTTTTAAGATAAGCTACTTACTAGAGTATTAGTAGCTAAGCTAAAAAGACTTAGCGCGCTTTTGCGTACACTTTAGATAGAGTATATATTAAACTTTATTTTACGCCTTTATAAGATACCTAGTAGAGAGTAGTTACCTATTTAAGACTTTATTTTTTAGATTTAAGATACTCTATTACGCTGTTAACAATAAAACGTATAAACGCCATGCAAACGTTCTCAACGCTGGCAACTTTGGAACTAAAATAAAACGTCCGAGGGGAATAGGGTTCGTTCATCATGTCGTCAAGATGCAAATCGGTATCTGCAAAAGATGCTCCAGATAACCCAAATAATAACCCACATCGCCCGCTGTAGATGATGCTCATGAAAATGTAGATGCCTGAGAGGTGTGGCGAGGTTGTCATTCTCTACGCCGTCGCTTCAGCTCGTCGTCTTCCGTATTGTCGTGTTCTTGGCTCGCGGTGAGTCGTTTGCGTGCCAGTGCCTTCTCGTTGCCCTTCTTCACTTGGATATTGCATCCTTGTAACTTCAATGCCCGGGTGAGCGCGCTGCTTGGCCGCATACCCGGAAAGTCTTTGGCTGTGTAGACTGTGAAGACATCGCTCAAGACCTCGGTGAGTATGGGCGAGAACCCTCCCACGTGGAGGTTCATAGGATCGATGCGCATAAGGACGAACCGGAGTCGGTACTTGCCATGGGTACGGCAAGAGAGGTCTGGAAAGCAGAAAAAGCAACCCTCGGCGTCATGCTCATCCTTTGCTACAGACGGAGAAGCTACGAGCTGGCCCATTAGTCGTCGCGTTGTTCGTCGGTCAGGCTGTATGAGTGCCGTCTCTTCGTTCGTTCCTTCTGCGTTCCAGAGCGTGCAATGAACCACGTTGAGCGAGTAACGAAGCTCTTCTTGTTCAGCAGCACCGGTCTTCGGATCCGTTACTAGTAGCTGGATGATTGGCGGAGGGTCAATCACCCTGCGGTCGCGTTCTCCGAACCCACATGCTCGCGCAGCGATGGGTTGTTGTCGCACACGAAGCTCGTAGTTTAGATTCCTATCTGTGTCAGTCAACGTTGACCTACCCAGGCGGGAGATGTTCCTACAGTTGTTCGTTGTACACAGGCTGTGGTATCGAACCCGGCAACGGAATTGCTCGATGCTGTTTCTGGGGCGGAGGGGCTGTCGCAGGGGTCTCTGAATATGAAATAGATCCCAATGGCGCCGCTAGAGAGCCGCGATGTGATTGTGAGTGCTGATGGGAACCGACGGACCCGCGGAATGGAGTGCTACTTGATGCATAGCTTGGTGTGTACCCAGGCGAGGGCAGTGGAGGGTAGGCTCTTTGCTGCGAGGCTTCTACTGGTGAAGTGAGAGATGAGTAGGGCTGCTCGTGGTGTTGGCTGTGGGGTTGGTTGGGGTGATAGTGGCGGGGCTCCTCGTACGGATACCGGTGTTCAGTTAGTCTTCGCGGCCCTCTGCTGTCAAACTCGGAACGTGGTGAGATGGGGGGACCATATTGCTGGGGAGAATATGGTGGGTCTGATCTAGGTGGGGTGTAAGGATTCGAGTGCTGCAGTAGCTTCTCGACGGGGGCTGCTGCTCTATGTAACGAGGACGGCTGAGGGTAGTCGTGTCGTGGGGGCAGTCCAGCATGGATCGAGGGCAGTTGATTGATGGGGGAGCGGAACTGGTGATCCGGGCGTGGTGGTACAGCGTCTGGCGGGATCTCCAGCGGGGGCAGTCGGCGATGGGAGTAGTCGAGAAAGCCAGGGGGCGAAAAGATGGGAAGTTTCTGGGTCTCGGTCATATCTGGAGCAGGACGAGAAGATGTTGTCAGAGGGAGCGACGGCGGCGGAGGTGGAGGTGGTTGGGACATGCGTGTATTATTATTTGGCCGGGCCAGGACACGATGCACGAAGCCGCATTGGGATGAGGGTTGTGTTCAGTTCGGAGGCTCTTTTCAAATTGGGAGCAACGGGTCGTGGTGCAGTGTTGGACAAGACGTCAGGAGTGGGAGCACTGCCTCGAGTGTGGCGGCGTGAGTAGTTTATAGTTGACGGTTCCCTGTAGTCAACCCTGTAGGTATCTGGATCGCCAGCAGCCAGATCGACGGTCGGATGCTTGGATTCAGCAATGGCGACGTTGAAGTGGAGGCGCTCAGACGCCTTAAAACAACGGGCGCCCGGGAAGGGGAAAGGATGCAGACGGGGGTGGGCCCGCAGCACCCTGTTCACTCGCAAGCCTCACGCCAACCGTCAAGAGTAGCCGGCTCGGAGCATAAATTTCAACAAGGACAGCGATAAGTGCAGCGATGGGAGGGCGGATCCGAGCTTGGCGGTGCGGTGCTAGTCCCCAGGTTTCTGACGTGGGCTGGGTGCAAGCGATATGAAGGCCGGGAGATGGGCACTGCTCGCAGGTGACGGAGTGGGGACATGTCATGGCCGACTGGCATGATCAAATGATGGTGATGGCGTCTGGCTGGTGCATGTGGCCTCAGCGGGCGCCATGCAGCAGGAAACTTTGGGAAGTCTAGCTCAGTGAACTGGCTTCGCAGTATTTTCGTGGGGCGTCCGTTGCAGGCTGGCGGCCGGGTAAAAGGTCGACAAACAACGGCGTCCCGGTTTCGCAGGCACGTCTGTTTCGAATCAAGGCGGGCCAGGGTGTTGCACACTGTAACCCGGCGGCAGCCAATATGGAGCAATATGCCAGATATCACGTAACTCGGTCGGTGGGCGCTGGCGGGCGACGCTTTCGGCGAGGGTCCAGATGGAGGTCAGGAGTGGCTGCAGCGCGAACCTGGGAACGGCCTGGAGGCCCATCTGTCAGCGGGCGCGGCGAATGGCGAGGCTGCAGCGGTGCGGCTAAAAGCGATCTGCCCTGCGACGCCTTTCTTGTCCGTCTCCGCGCACCCACTTGGGCTGGTGAACCCAGTCAGGACGGCTACCGGGCTTTTGGAAGACGGCTGCCGTCGCATGCGCCCATCCAGCAGTGACATGAGACAAAGCCTCCGCACCTGGCTATCGGACTCGATGGGCAACGGGCACGGCCGCTTATGTTGGTCGGTGGCTTGCGCTTGACCGCCGTGGGCGACCGTTGTCGTTAACAGCAGACAATTAAGACACGCAGTATGCTGCCAGTATCGCTGCCATGGCGGCGACACGAATCACGGCCCTTCGCTTGCGGCGCACCTGGACAACCTCTCCAGGGCTGGAGAGAGTGGCAGCATATTGCAGTCATGGGATTTGTCCACGGGTGCCTTCCAGTTGGACATGGGACGGCAGTTGTCGTCTATCTGTCTATCTGTCTACCACTCTACCACTACCAGACTACCACTACCACTCTATCGCTGTCTCGCGTGGTCTACTCCACATCAGACGGCAGTTGACCATTTAGAGTAGCAGCTGGATTGTCAGAGTAACAGCTGGATTGCCCGAGTAACAGCGTTACAGCGGTCCTAGCGCCTCTCTTATTGCCTCGCTGCTCAGTCTGATATTGCGCCCGCACGGCGTACCTGCGTGTGTGCGCGCGCCCTAGGCTAGCCGCCTCCGCCGTGTGCTACCTCAGGCGGACGCATGTCTACTTTGACACACTCGTCCTCTGCTACCCCTCACCACCCATCGCGACGACGCTGCCCTCGGTGAGCGAGTCCGCCAATTGCTCTCCCTGGCACGTGTCGCAGCCAATCGTCCGCCCGGGCACCTGCCGTCTCTGCCCTCTACTCTACGCGACCACCCAACCGCCGCCCACGCCTCCCTCACCGCCCCGTCGTCTCCCACAGCTGCAACACTACTCTGCGCTGAATCACGTCGCCACTCCAGGGCTCGATCGACACGCTGCCCGCATGGCTGCTCACTTCGGCAACTACGTGGGTACGTGCGAGGCCACCTCACCCAGACGGGCTGTGGGCGTTCTGACGTGCCCTCTACCGTGGCTCAAAGCGGCCTCTGCTCGGCAATTGCTGCCCTGCCTCGATTCGTGCTGACGGCCTGCAGACTATAGTGGGGCCAAGCCTCCTGCCTCAGCGACTCACGTTCGCGACCCACGTCTGCACATCCTGGCGGCGACGATTCCGGAGATCTTCGCCAACAAGCACATTCTCGACATCGGCTGCAATGCTGGCAGCGTTTCGATCCAACTAGGTAAGTCCAGGAAGGATACCCCTGCCACTTGCTGCAACCGACTATTACCACCATCGACTCGATATTGATCAACTGCAGCCCTCGATTTCCACGCGGCTGCCGTCACTGGCGTCGATATCGATCCCAAGCTGATTGCCCAGGCCGAGAAGCTCCTGGCCTTGCGCGCTTCCCGTGCAACACCCCCCACGAGTTGCGACCCACCCGTCGTCGACTACTTTCCCATGTCGGCCGTGCTCACTCATGGCTACCGGATTGAACCGCACCGCAAGCCTGTCCACACGTCTTCCGCTGCGTCAGCTGCCTGGCCGCGTGTAACCTTCTTTTCTGCAGATTGGGTCCTGCCCTCTGACCAAGATGCTACCGACTCGTACCATGTCATCCTGGCATTATCCGTCATTAAATGGATCCACCTCGAACATCGAGACGCTGGTCTGACGACGTTTTTCGCAAAGTGCTCATCGTCTTTGAAACCGGGCGGCTACCTAGTCATCGAGCTCCAGACCTGGGACTCATATCAAAAGGCCATTCGCCCCAATCATGCTCCGCATTTCCACGAGACCCTCAAGGAGCTGCAACTACGGCCAGAGACATCGTTTGACAGTCTCCTTGCCAATCACGGTCTGCACCTCTGCGCTTCGTCGGACGCACTCCCTCGTCGCATCAATGTCTATCAAAAGGCCTAAGAGCGGTTGGTAGACATATTGGTAGGGATTGACACTCTTCCACTAGCATCACGTTTCATGGCGTTCGGGTCCCAGTCTCTAGTATCGGGATTTACCATCTCGTCTCGCTCGGGAGACGTTGCAAGTCATCCATGGCATTATTCACGTTGACTAATCTCTACACTCGTGCCGCTGCAGCATCTACCGTATCTGGCTCTCCCATTCTATTAATCAAGGTACATATGTTAGATTGAACTCGCTATCCAGGCAGGTAGAAAAGTATCCCAATCCGCGGCTAGTTACTACAAACGGCTGGTCTGCGCTCCACTTTCTTGGTCTTCTTTCCGAGGCTGTTCCCTGTCCGCCGATCTTTGGCCCTCACCATCCCAGGTTCTATCAAGCCATGCATCGTACGATTGCGGCAGCTATGCAAGTAAAGATCGGCCGAATAACAGGCTTTTCAAACTTCCGGCCTCGATGTCCGCCTCAGTAGTGAGGCATGCAGCTACAACCTAATTGTGATTGCAGCCATGGCTCCGCAAACGTCTCTGGCGGGCCACGGTAGAGTAGTGAGGTTGCGACATTTGCATTAGCCGCGTTACTACACAACCCGCCACGCTAGCCAATGGCGGCTCGGAAGCTTTTCGGCTTATGCCGGGTACCCATCCTCTGGTTCTCCAGACATTAGATCACATGTCGTCCACTAATGCAAACCTTATTCCACTCCGGATCTCGTGCAGGCCGAGGTTTTCTGCTTATGCTGTTCAATAGTATATCTACTACCAGCCGTGCTATCCTCCTCGTAACGTCATCTCAGATGGCCGGCTCTAGATGTTTCGACAATTGATGATCGCTCACCGGTCCGTACATTGTGACAAAGTCTAGATGACAGGAGCGTAGGTTCGCCGACTCCATGGCAACATGGTTTAACCTAGCCGCCACTGACCGCTTATGAGCTGTCACAGAACGTGAAATTGCCAAACTCTCGTTGACAATATGACTGCTGATGCTGTGAAAGATGAGATATGACGTTGCATTTCCGTCAGAGAGCACCAATTCCCCGTCTGTACCATCTCAAACAGGTAAATCCCTCGAATTTCACGCTTTGGTCCCTGAAGCCTTGAGGACGGCGCAAAGGTTCGAGCGCTTGGTTTCCCTCATCAGCCGTAGATTCACCTTAGCTCGCACCTTGCGAACCACGTCGACTGTTGAGGAGCTCTCTGGGAGATTATGCCACACCAAGTACAAAGCTTGATGGAGTGGCTGAGTTACCTCTGGACCGGTGCTGCACGATGCCTTGCCCGCTGGATGCCATCTCATCAACATCTCGTTCGAGAACCAGGGACAGGCCGTATGCTTTGAAAATTGAGTTACTGGGTCCCGGTTGATGCGAGCTGGCGACTCGGTTGTCGATCCGTCAGAGCGGTAGGCTCATTCGACATAGTCTACAGATCTTGAGAGGTGCTCAATCTCGCAGGTGAAGTCGGCCCTCACGAAAACCCAATGCACTAGCTGGAACACAGCCAAGTCGTTATTCTGTTTTTACCGCATCTACATGGCTGCACAGCTTCGGTAGCTTGGTTTCTCTGAAAGCCGTGCCATGGAACGCCAGTGCAGTATCTGGCCAGTGTACCGTCCACTGCGGCGATTCAAGCAGACATGATCTTGTCGTTGGTGTGGGAACAAGTCCGATGATGCGCTCCCCTGCAGACCAGGCAGACTTGCGACTACTGTTGTCAGCAAGCATACGCCTATCGGGATGCAGCATCACTGCCTGCTTGGTCGCACGACAGCCAATACACTCACCGATGGATGCATCGGCAGTTTGTCTCTAGCCGAGAGGGTGAATCACAGTATATACTGTCATGTCGTGCGTGAAAGCGTCGACTCTGCTAGCCAATGACGATGCGATGCTGCCATCGTGAACGGTGTCGAGATTTGCGATCAACAGTTCGTCCAATATCTACAGCGTCAAAACGATATGCAGTTGCGCATGGAAGATTGACCACTAACGGGAACGCCCTGCGTAGGTATACAAGGAGGAAGACCGAGGGATGTCGACTAAACGGGGCGGCCATTGATGGACAACGCATCCACGGATAGCTGCTTCGTGGACACACCACATGCCGCACAGCAGCGCATTGCACAAGTGATGCTGCCCAAGAACATGTCGTGAGCTGGCTCGAGTGACAACAAAGCTCCTGCACCCTGCGCTTATCTCCTCGATGCGATCCGCCGACAACGATATGGAGTTGCAGGACATCGATGACGTTGAAGAGTCGCCATTGAGGTGCAGCATGTCGAGTAAGGCGTACTGCCGTCAGTCGTCATCACAACTTCTCATGTCGTTTCAATTTCCACGCCCGTTGCTGTTGTCATGTGTCACCGTGCGCTCTTGCCGTCTTCGGAGCACGTCTCGCAGCTGCCTCGATTACGTAGGCCAGACAAGCCCAATGACAGCGAGGGTTCGTGCAGTTACCAGGGGCCATGCAGAACATAGTTCCTGTCGTGGAACCCTCCAGCACATCGCTCTTGCCTTGCCACGAACACTTGCATTCTGCCCCCGATACACGAAATCCACGTCGGCTAGTATTCTGGAGGAATGCGCTGCAGGGAGCTCGAAACGACCGTTGCCCGCGTCGCGTCGACGTGTTCAGACGAGAGCTTTTCGATGCTCCAGGTCGGCGGTGCGCGGGCTTGAGAAATAGCTTTTGGCCACCTCACCTTGCCGCATCGGAGACTTTTGTACCTTCAACAAATGCTCTTTCTCTCCTCCCCTGGGCCTCGCAGGGACCGACGCAAGACGATGCTAGCGACAGGTTGATCCCGGCCTCTGGAATGCGATGGCAATGATGTGTAGCTGCTGGAGCGTCTGCAGTGGCGGCACCTCTCAGCTTGGATGGACGTCCACTTGCAACTAGGCGGGAAGCCAAGCACTGCACCAGTCGGGCTATATAACCATCAAGCAGCGTCGAGGTACGTCTCACGCGAGACCTGTCGTCACTCCTGACCTGTGTACCGGCCCATGATTCAAGCAGCATAGCTTGCGCCGGAACTCCAGGCTGAGCCGAACAAAAACAACCATCTTCTTCCCTCAGCAGCGCCAGCGAGGTAAGCTCCAGAACCGCGCGTAGCATCAATGCGTCAGCACGTGTCCTGTTCACACCACAGCTGGGGGAGGCGTAAACGAGCGGGCGTCGTATACGGCGCTTAGGGGCATGAAACGGTTTGGTGCTGACCGTGCGATAGGCTTCCTTGACGAGTCTCGCGCGGGCGCTTCTCACGATCCCTCATGCAGATCTCTGGCTATTTGACATCCTGCCGAAGTCAGACGTAAGCTGGATCCTTGCTTTTGCCAAAGCGAATGACCATCCGAGCTTGGTCACACAGAGCTAGACAACACTCAACACGATTCGGCATCTTGCCGGAGCTACGGGATCCACCACCTATACATACGCCATCAAAACCACTCGTAGAACAGAGCAGAGCCACGCCGAGCGCTCATCTCCGCCGACCGACCGCGAGCGCATCGAGCGCATCACCGACGATATGCCACCCGCGAGCGACTCTTTCATGCCCCTCAACATTGAAGACGACGTCGTGCCAGAATGGCTGGATTCCTTTACTCTGGTTGCGCCCCCAAACACCGATCTATGGAGAAGGCCATCTTCGGGCGACATCTCAACCGCTCCCATGCTCTACACTGCCTTGAGCAATCCCTTCATCGTAGCAGAAGTCACGGTCAAGGGAGACTGGCAGCTTGAATGGGATCAAGGAGGGCTGGTCATATTCGCAGGCGCACCGCCGGGACAGACAGCGACGGCATCAACAACCGCAAGGCCGACATTAGAGGTCCCAAATGTTGCAAACATCCGGTTGGACGACAGCGCGACGCCGAGCTCCGCCATCTCTCTCTCGCAAACCTCAAGTAATGAGAATGTTGAAAGCTGCGGCACGACAGCCTCACACAGCCCAACAGACGAGTCAGGACCCAGCCCCCAACTAGAACGTGGGCCGCCACCACCGTACGACGCTCCTGCGCCAGCACCCAAGTGGGTGAAAGTCGGGCTTGAGTTCTGCGGCAACGTATGCCACGCTACAGCTGTAGCCGCCAATAGTGAAGGTGCCGATTGGTCTTTGAGTTCGCTTCCTCCGCTTCAACAACGGCTCAAGGAACTGCGCGTCAAGATGGAGCGCATCGGCTACGCGCTGTGGGTGTCGTACGAGGAAGAACCGGGGATTTGGAGGAAATTGAGAGAAGTCACTTGGTTCTTCTGGGGTGTAGAAGACAAGGCCGTACGCGTTGGCGTCTACGCGAGTCGACCTGCAAACTTTGGCATCACCATGTGGGATCACAGACACCGTGTGGGACTCAGCAACGAACAGCGAAATTTATACGTCGAATTTGAAGATCTGGAGATCCACTAACCAGGCACGTCGCCCTGTTTATTTCTGTCGGTCTATCATTGCATGCAGCGGCTGTTCGTGCAGCCCAGGATCACGAGCAGATGCTCTCTTTGCTTCACACATCCCTAGCATGTCTACATCTCTAATCGTCTTTTCGGCCCCCTACTTCGTAATCAGTTTTGAGTTTCGGTTCTATGTACCTATTCGCTTTTCGCCGTTCGCGGCGTTGCCTCGGCGCTTGCCACCATCTTCAGCTCATCGCAGCGTCGCATCCATCTGTGGCGACAATACCTGCACTACAACTTCTCGCATACATATAGGGCTCATTTTACTGTAATCGCCTCTTTTCCTCACGGATGACGGATCATGTTGAGCGCAGATCTGTAATCTCGTTCTCAGCTCCGTCATCACAATCCAGTTTCGCTTGCCTTCTAGGATATATCTATTTATATAATAACACAAGTATTTGGTACCTATGTCTACACGCTGCAATGTAGGATTCTCAGTCCTACCTAGACCTCGCGTAAGAATGTGAGTCGGATGCGCCTTGCATGTGGAATGGTGGTGATCGGTACCCATGCGGAGCTGGCGCGTTTGGTGTCGCGTCTTCACGCCGCCCCGGTGCCCTTCACAGACGGTGTAAACTCAGCACACTAAAGTACCAACACAGGGGAGGGATCACAGTCTCGATCGATCCAAGTACTTGAATGGCAGGCCCGAATGATGCATGCAAACGACAAAGCTGATGTTGAATCTCACAACTTTGAGAGACATGCTACTTCCACGACGAGTACCAGGGACTTACGGATACGATTCATGGCCAATCCCCACTGAGTGTTCACGGAGAATAAACCTAAGTTTTCTGGTCGCTTTGAGGAGCTACCTACTCGATCCTTCCCGGCTGATTGGTCTACCACCCAGAACTCCGTAGGGAACAACGATGTTGCTTGTCTATATTCTGTTGGGTCTTGTGTACCATACAGCTTGTGGATACGGCCATACCATGAAGGGTCGTCAGGCCGAGTACACTATGACTAAGGACGCTCACGGGAGCTACACCACAGCTCCGTTGGTAGAAAGAACGACTTCCTTCCCTACATCATCATCCAATGCAGCCAGCACTCAGATATCTAGCCTTCAGCCATCTCAGCCCGTACTACCGGCCAGCGTGCCCCCCACAGTTGCCTGCTGGGCGACACCATATTGCCATTCTATCCTCGTGGACTTTGCGCACTGCTACAACATCTCTGGAACGCTGAAAAGTCCCAATGGCGACGATGGACGAAGCGAAGTTTACCAGCGTTGTCTCTGCAACGACCGAGGAACTGTGTACAAAGAGTAAGCGTCCCTCAAGTCACATCCCTCTCCGGCCTCCTCTAACCGACCAACAGCATCCTCACGAACTACCAAGCGCAAAACACAGACAACGTAACGCAGTGCTACGCATGCATGAAGCAAGCCGGCATCGAAGTAGACAAGAACAGCGAACCCAGCCTACAAATGAGGTACAAGATCCATAACTTCTGCAACACCGCAGTCCCGAACCTATACGATTTACTCGCTCTATTCCTCGTGTGGCTCAAGTCGACCGACGAGCCCGTGGACAATAACACCGAGCTGGGCAGCATACCCTCGATATCTACTCTAGCCGATCGCTTCACAAAGACAGATGTAAATCAAGCTACTACAACGGTAGCTAGCTCGGCTCGGAACACGGAGACATCGTGGCTGGGGAGTACGCTTACTGCTGGCGACGTGATACCGACGCAGTACTTACAGCAACTACCGAAGAACTGGCCGTATACAAGCTACGGCGCGGCAAGAAAGGCAGGCCAGACTACCTCGTTCGCGTTGACAGACCCCAATTCGACTAGTCAAACGGTGGCATGGCTATTCCATGAGATGCTGTGGAATCCACGACCGCTTTTCACTTCGCCGTCAGCGAGAGGAGAGGAGTATGAACCAGGGCTTGCGGACTGGACACCAGCGTTCAGGAACGGTGCTGCCCTGACTGCTATTCCTTCTACTTCCGCCGCACCCGACATCTCAACGACAAACGTCGAGTCGAGCACATCGGATCCTACGGCGACGGCAGCATCAGAAGGGACGATGACGCTGGGTACTTCCACGACGTCGACAACGCTGTCTTCATCTACGAAGACCGCTGTTCTTACAACGTCCGTCGTCGTGTCCACGTCCATGTTGATAGCCTCCTCTGTTGCGATTCTAACAACAACGACAACAACTTTACCGCCAACCTCTTCGTCTTCTCCACCTCCACCTCCTTCTTCCTCACTTACCTCACAAGCGCTCGTTCCTAATCGTCCAGAGTACACACAATACCCTGTTCTGAGTAAACCACACGATGCGAGAGACGTCACGACTGCGTCATCTCGAAAGGCACTTGTAGATGCCATGGCTGGGCCTAGGCAGGAAACTGGGGACGAGGAGTCAATTGAGCAATTGTGGGGTGAGATAAGAAGGGTGAAGAAAGAGATGAATCGCTGATGTTCGATCGCGAGAATGCAAGAGAGGGGAAGATGTAACAAACAAACCAATATAAAGGCTATTCGTGTCATAATTACGTATTAACTATCTGTTCTACTTATGATACCACCTCCCATAATGAAGGGGTTTTTCTAGACACGCTTTATACCGAAAACGCCAACCCATGCCCCTATATACAAGTCCTGTAATGAGACTCCATGAAGCGTATATACATAATGCCATCTACTTCTTCTTTCTTGGGCTTCGGCTTCACTACCGCTTCACCTCCGCAACAAGGTACGGGCCAATGACGCAAATAGCGGTCCAGACCACCATCGCACTCTCAACAACAATCGTGTACGGCGTCTTCCAGATAGGCACCTCCTGCAACCTGACGTAAATCGCGTAAAACGCAACGTAGAAGAAGTGGTAGACAAGCATCCAAGGGCGCGTGATCAGTCCCGCAAGCATACCACAGGGTTCACTGACGCTCTTTCCGCCGCGCAGGAAGTACTTGAAGCAGCCCTTCTTGATCAGCTCGAGGTACTGGTTGTTGGCGGCGAAAAGGCTGTACAGCGCCATGGCCAGGATGTTGATGACGGATGAACCGTCTTTGCGCTGCCAGTGGAAGGTCGACATGGCGGCGAGGACGGCAGAGGTGTCTTCTAGTGTGGGTACGTTGGCGGGGGAGAGGAGGTTGGAGAGTAGGACGACGTCGTTGAACGCGACTGTCATGCCGCCGCCGGTCAGGGGATGACGCATGTTCATTGAATCGCCGAGGAAGATGAGGCCGGCTTGCTTCTGCGTCGTAGGGGGTAGGAAGCTGTTGGGCATGGAGCGTAGTTTACCCGCTTCGATTGCTTTGCGGAACGCGGGCTGGACGCAGGCGGGAAGTTGGGGCAGCGCGACATTGAGCATGTGGTTCTTGACACCCCCGTTCTTGGGGCTCGCCGACGGCAGGTGTTCGGGTATGTCGACAAGAATGCGCGTCTCGTGTGTGCCGATTTGGTAGATGAGGATGGGGGGTGCGTCGGCGAGGATGACGTGGCCGTGGTTGGGCATGGGCAGCTCGGCGTCGATCATTTCGAGGCCCCAGAATTTACTGCGCACTTGAGGTTGGTTAGGGATGTATTCTTTGCGGAACTTGGAGGCGTAGCCGTCGGCTACGAGGGTCACGGCGCCAAAGTAGTAGTCTTGCTCCCCGGCGGTTTGACATGATACGCCGACGACTTGGCCGGTGTAGTCGCTCTTGACGACGGATGTGACGGTGGTCTCGACGACGGTGACGTTGGGTGTGGACTGGGCCTTTGCGCGCAGTTTGGAGATGAAGCGGCCGTGGTGGAAGGAGCGTCCTTCGGGTGCTCTCGAGGGCCCGGAGGTGATGAGGTTATCGGGGTAGGGGATGTGGACCTCCTCTTTGCCGTAGAAGATCTGGTAGCCGTGGCAGGGTATCGCATCGATGTCGTCGAGGCAATCTGGGGCTTGCTGTCAGCGTTTCACCCTAGACGTATCCTAGGAGTGATTCAACGTACCCCTCATGCCCAGCTTCTCCAGAGCATTGACACCACCGGGCTGTAGCAGCTCTCCTACAATCCTGTCCGGCTCCTTCAAGCTCTTCTCCAGCAGTATGACGCTTCTGCCCTGCTTGCCGAATGCGACAGCAGCTGCGCACCCCACGATGCCTGCGCCAATGATGACGACATCGGCTTCATGGTGCACGCGCCGCCTCTCTTCGCGGGAATCGCATGTGTGTGTGGCTTCGATGGTAGGGACGGATTGGGTCGACGTGCCTCTGTGTCGCAGCTGGGGGGACGGCGAGGCAGAAACTCCAGGCGGGAGCTCTGCAAGCTTGGAACCGGAGTACATTGTGAGCATGGTTGCGGTTGCTGGGGTCTGTGGAAAGACCCTGTTGAGTGAAAGGTAAAGTTGATTGCGCAGAGGAAGGTGCGTTCCAAACTCAGTGGGGCGGGTGAGGCGCCGCGATAAATACTGGGCGATGTGCAGCGTGGAGAAGGAGTGTGTGTGGAGAGAGTCAATCAGCCTCGTCGAAACGTCACACGGGCGGCGCGAGGGTAGAAATAAACTTCGCGGAACGTCAGGTCTCGTGCAGATCAAGGGTCCGGCATGCAACCGCGTCGTCGAGAGAACGAATCCGAGTGGCGACCTCACGATCTTAAGCCGCGAGATTGATTGCAGGGATCGCGCTCACCGCCATGGCCCTTTCTGCCAGGGGTATCACTCCCGCCTGGGCGATGTGGTGCGAAGATCATCTGATCTTGTCGGAATCCGATCGTGCTCGGCTTTTCCTCGAACCATGGCTGGTCTTCGGGCGGGTCTTCGGTCTGCGGAAGGTGTATGTGTTGTTCGTGAAGGGTGATTGTAGGGTGGGTCGGCAAAGACATGCACCTGCATAACATTCACGTGTTGGCTACCAGGCACCCGCATCAAACTTAGAATCGTCGCAGGCACACCACAGCGACAAGTAGTCGATGCAAATCTCCTCTCTATGTGGTATATACGTTTCGCACAAACTCTATACATTGGGAATGCAGAAAGCAACTCTGCCGAGCTGAGTATATGCAAAGCGCTGCACAAATGGCGCCGCGTACGCTACGGTAGTTAATAGAAATTACAAATAAAGCCAGTACATGGTGTGATGTAGGTATATAGTGGTAATGAAGCAAGCATGCGTCTCGTCGTGGTGAACCTTCCGCCTTTTTGCTTTGGCCCACACAAGTCCGATTAATCCCCGAATCGTCCAAGCCATTGTGTGGTCAATGTGTGCCAGATAATCCGCCCAAACGAAGAAAAGATAGGAACGAAGAGCCCCAAAGAATGTGCCAGTACGCCTCCAAGGCCCAAGGAAACGTCTCGCCAATAAGGGGCCTCCGCAATGCGTAAGAATTGGAAGGAACGACCAGTGGAAGTTGTATGTACATATGTACGAATATACACAAGATCATGAGTACGTCTTGATGTGTTGCTGAAGCTTGGCGGTATTGCTATCCAAGGCGTCTAGAAGGCAGAGCCGGGGCGCTGGCTCGAGGGGGGGAACATCGGCGATGCCATCGGGGTATCGACTTCCATGATGGTGGATTGCCGGTCAGCGAATTGTGTCTTGCCGTCGGAAGGCTGGGCTGGGCCAAGGTGCGAGTTGCGGTAGTATGCCTCGTAAAACTCGCTGAGTCGAGCATCCTGCCCCTGTTGACCCGGTGCAAGCAGGTTGCTTGACTGGGGACGGCGCTCCGTCTCGTCGTCAGTAGACGCAAGGATCGATGTGTGGCCGGATTCGACTGTTGAGGCGGCAGAGGCTGAGCGGCCCGGCTTTTGCTTTTGCAAAACCTGAGTATGCGAGTCCTTCTTTTGCGCTGCCTCCTGATATGCTTGGTATGCTTGGAAAGTGCTTAGCCGGTTGCCACTGCTGTAGATGCTGCTCGCGTCGCTTCCGTCTCGTTCATGGTGTGGCGAGTAGGTTCGTGCCTGTAGTTGGGGTTGGAGAGCGGGTGACGAAGGTTCAGAGTCTTGGAAGAAAGTTAGGGATGGCCCGATATATATCTACTAAATGCTAAAAGTACAACAGACAACGCACCAGGAAATCGCGTTACCTACTCGGCTCGTGGACCTGCACGCGAGGGTAGTCGTACTCGGGCGATGGAGAGCGGGACTCCTTCCGCAAAGCATGGCCAGGGATGGATGGCAACTTGGCTGTGGGTGGGTTGTGGGGCGAAAGCGGTGTTGGTGATTGACCAGGCGAGTTGTGGTAGGATCCTTGCTGTGACTTGATGGCGTTCGCATCTCCGGAGTGGTGCGATACCATGAGAGCTGGCGCGTATTGCTGACGGTTCAAATCGGCTGGTGACATGGACCGAGGAGATGTGAAACCGTCGCTGTCGCTGTCGGAGCCAGCAAAGTCAGGAGAGGTGGTACCACGCGGGTGACCGGGCGAAGGAGGAACTTGAAGAGACATGTCGACAGCGCCGTTGTGGTTGCGTCTTCCACTGAGCTCGGCCTCAGATGGGCGGAGCTTCATGGTAGGCGGTGAAGCTCGTCGTGTGGAGGGTTCTTTGGTGGCGTTGAGGTTCAGGCTGAGCATGCTGTTGTTGTTGGACTGTCCCTTCATGAGCGGCGAGTTGACGCTTCCTCCGACCAAGGTGCTGGTGCTCATTGTTGGGTTATCGCCCATGACAGATCCTGCTCTTGAGGTAGGTCGCGACTGAGCGACTCCGGCGTAGAATCCGGCCTCGATGGCGCGAATACCAAACAGATCACCCTCATCCTTCTCGCGTTGGTTCAGTTCAACAGTGTCCTCCTTGGGTCCAGCCTCTAGCTCGGTTTGCTTCGCTTTCTTCAACCTTGCTATCGTTAGTTCCCGTCAAGATGGTGTCAA